CTGGCCGACGGGTCGAGGTATGCTGTAGGATCGTGCGGAATACGCATGACCTGGCGTCCCTGGTCTTCGTTAGGTCGGAGCTGTAACTTGAAACGGCATAATAAGCACGGGGCAGCGTGGTCTAGCACTGCGAGTGCTAAAGTAAGAGAATACTTGACTTCGCATTCATTGGCAGAGGCGCCTATGGGTATAGCTATGTAGTCCCTGCGCTTCCAGTGCTGTTTGAAGGCGGGGTCACGTGCTGGCGCGATCCATGTGCCCGCTCCCATAGGGTGTGGCACAAAGGTGGCCGGCAGCCAAAGATTAGATGCAAGTAGGAAACGATGGAAAAAGGAGCCATCCGTGTTAACTTGCTCCGCGTGTTGTGGGCCAATGGCCGCTGATGTTTGCGTGCCCACTGCAGCATTGGAGTCCATAAGGACAAGAGTAGGAGTGGGCTGCGGTAAAATATGGTCGTGCACGTGTCTAAGGTGCTGCCACCATGCGGCCTGCTCGTGGAGAGGACGCCCGGAATGATGAGCATGTGCCACGAGGATGCTGAAACGTAGGCCGTTCTGACTGATGACGGCCGCGATAATGCGCGGGTCTTGGTGTACAATACGCACGCTGTGAGACTTAATAGGGAAAGTGGGAATGCCTTTGGCATTGGGAAAAACGGGCGTGGTAAGGTTGACCCATAGCGCGCAGCCGCAAGCATGAGTTCCAGCTTGAGACTTTGACAAAAAGACTACGTACGGGGGAACCTGGCGTTTGCCAGAGCCCGTGGCTGTGACTCGCGTCTCTTGCATACCGATAACGTCGAGCCCATTGCGTTGAAAAGCGGCGGCCAGTTGGTGGAGGCGTCCTTTGACGGCCACGCCTGTAAGCCTGGCTCTTTGGGAGATGCGCGAAGCAGGCGTGAGAGAGAGAATGTTGGCTGAGGCTAGCCTGAGACAGCATGATGCCGTGGCGTCTGCGATCGGGGCTGCCTCTTTGAAGAGACCTGGAAAAACATCAGCAAGCGAGGTGCGCGGGGGGAGAGGAGGATTGAGACTAACTTGATGGTTCGGCGGGTAAAGCGCACGCTGTTGCTGAGGAAGGCACTCAAGCCAGAGCCATTCCAAAATGTGCGCATTGTCTTGGAGAAAGCTCATGAGGGGCGGGAGCACTGGAGGAGGTAGCAGTGCGAGGGAGTATAGTCTGGCGACCGTGTCAACCATTTCGTTGAGCGGGTCAGCTTGGTGACCGTGCACGTGCTGCCATGTAAAGCGACGTTTCAGGCCAAGTACCTTGCACAGACTGTCGAGGCGGCTTCTATGTTCCATTAGTGGCTCAGCCACGGTGCCGCCTTGGGCGGTGGCGACAACGTCCATGTTGTCTGAGTGAAAGGTGAGAGGAATGGCGGGGGGGAAGGGGGACTGTAGAGCCCATAACGCCGCCCAGGTGGCGGCATCGAATTCCGCTTTAGCGGAGACTCTAGTTGCTCCCATTGTCTCCGGGGTGGGACACCCTAGGAAGCCTAGAAAGTGTCGAGTGCCGTTGAGCCATGCAAAGACCAGAAAAGCCCACGCTGGCGGGCCAGCGAGATCTCCTTTGGAGGCCCCTCCGCTGGCGTCAGTATATATATCCGCGGAGTCAAAAGCCGCGTAGGGAGTATCGAAGACAAAGCTGTGCCAGGTGGGGATGGAGGAGGAGTGGAGGGCTGGAAAAATGACATCGAAGTCCCTGACCAACTGTATGGAGGTAGCCGTAAGCACCGGTAGCATCCACCCCATGGGCGGAAGCGGGCTGCGGCGTATACCTTGCCGCCCCCCCAGGTTCACCCGTGGGCAGTGTCCGGGGGAGCGACCTGAAAACCCGTGCCGTCGCGCGCTGCCTGGGCTAAATCGTCCTGAGCAGCTTGTGCCGCGTGGGCCTCGGCTTCAGCGCGAAGGTCCGCAGCCTCTGCTTCTGCCATTGCATCTGCAGGACTGCGTGGGGTAGACGTGGCGGATGCCCCTGCACGTGCCTTTGGCTCAGCCTCGGCTGTCTCGGGCCTGGGGCGACGTGAGCCACGAGGGCTCTTGCTGCGTGCTGCCTGCCTAGCTACAAAATCTTCCTCGCTGATGCCTGAAAGCGCGCGCTCTTCGGTCTGACCCGCGCGTGCGGATCTGCCCCTGGCCTGCGCGCTTGCGCTGCGGCGGGAGGATGCCATGGAGACTGGCTCCCCTTTTTCATCAGAGAGGTCCCACCCAAGCTGGCTGGCAGAGCGGGTAGGCGGGGGCATGCCGTTGGGATCCTCTACGGAAGCTGCTGCCGGGCTTTGCTGGTTGATAGCCTCCTCCCTAACCGAGCTATCTTGAAACGAGGGCGCAGTGGTGATCGCCTCCCCTGTCGGCGTCTTGGGCACTGGCGCTGGCCCGGGTTTGGGCACGAAACCTAGGCGGAATAGCGGGCCTGCTTTGGGGGAAGCGCGGGCCTGTTCACATCCTAACGGCGCTGTGGTCCCCCCCCGGACCGTAGCGCCGTGGCTAGAAGCGGCGGCTGGCACTAGTTGCCCGGCCTTGATCTGTGAGACTAGGGTGTCTACTGAGTTGCGCATGGCTTGGGCCTGGGAGTCAAAACTTGCCTTGATGGTGGCAACCTCCCTGGCCATGGCCTCGGCGTTGCTTTGCATGGCCGCGGAGAGTGATGTGATGTAAGGCTGTTCCAACCCTTGGATGCCTGGGAGGGGCGCAGGGCAGTGGAGGAGTGGGGGAGAGGTCGGCGCTGCCGTGAGGGGCGTGGCCGTTCCCAGGTCATGTGGGTCGGCTTGCTCCTCGCCTGTATGCGTTGCAGAGAGTGCCGCAGTGCGCTGTGCTGCACCTGGCTCCTCCGCCGCGTCCCCCATCATGAGCGAGTCAGTGATGGCGGCGGCTGGCGGTGCTTGCGACTTGAAGTAAGCTAGTAGCATGGGAGCCTGGCTGAGGTCCGCTTGTGCGGTCTGAAGGGCCAGGGCGATGTTGCGCACGTGTTCCTCCGCCTGCGCTTGTTTGACTGCCAATTGCTCACAATCGGCCTGCAGGGAGGCCACCACGTGCTCTTGCTCACTAATCTTGGCCAGCGGGTCCCTCGCGTTGGCCAATTGAAAGTTAACTAGTGAAATCTCCTTTCGGATCTCGGTGATACGCATATCGGAGTGTCCTAGGAGAGTTGAGGCCCTAAGCTGCAGGATTAGTGCCTCCTTGCTCATTGCAAGGGCCTTGCGGTGCTCCAGCAGGCGGTCGGGCTCGAGCGGGGGGTAAAGCCAGGCTGAGTGAGAGTGCGCCTCGTCTGGGGTAAGGGTAGGGCACTGCGCTGTGAGCTCCGCCTCCGAGAGCTCAGTGGCAGGATCCAGCGCGCCGAGCGAGGCGGAGGCCTGTTCGGCCGCGAGGAAAGGAGACTGCTGTACAGAGGTTGGGCCGAAGAGTGTGGGGGGAGTGGCCGCACCGTCGTGAGGAGGCGCAAAAGGGGAAGGCTGTGTCTGGGGAGACTGTCCTATGATGCCTGTGTCCCTAGCCCCGTGTGGGGTGCCAGGAGCCTTCGATGGAGGCTGCTCCCCATCTCTGCGCTGGTATTCGCGAGCTCTACGAGCATCGTCCTTCTCGCGCTTCTTGCGCTCCTTGCTGGAGATCCCAGCCTCTTGGACCGCATGATCTCCTGGGGGTGCGGGGAGCAGGCCGTATTCCGCTGCCCATGCAGCCACCTGATCGAAAGACGGCGCCCCTGTCGGTGCGTGGCCCTTGCCCAAGTGCACCCCTCCCGTGCTTCCGGAAAAGGAGCGAGGGCCCTTGTGGCCCGGGCCCGCGCCCCCATCATGCAGGGGCCTGTGCTGCCCCTGACCTTTGGCTGGGCCGACCTTCGCATGTTGGTGACCTGCTGCCCGAGTCGGAAAACAGTTGGGACATGAGACGTCCATAGTGGTATTGGCCCGGCCACATTGCAGGCAATACCAGAACTCGGGAGGGGCGCTGCCTTTCTGGTGCACTGGCTGCTGGGGTGGAGGAAAAAAAGTCCATGGGAAGGCGCGTGGCATAAAGAGACGGTGAGGGAGGAGCAGCCAAACGCTGGGTGGGAGAAGTAGCCATACCGTGCTGCTGCAGCCCAGATGTTGGCGAGAGAGGTGGCGCGTGCGGAGGGGGTAAGGTAGGAGGAACAGCGCCTTGCTGGGGGATACCCTGGAAGGAGTGGTGCTGCGAAAGCATCATCGCAGCCTTGTGCACCCTTAAAAGCGTGCGGGCGTTAGCGCGCTGCTTGCGCGCTCTGCGATGAGGAGCGGGCTCGTCGCGAGGCCGCTGGGGATAGGAGGGAGGAGAGTATGCAGGCGTCGCGCCTGGCAGATGGCGGCCCGATAGGGCGTCGCGGCGGGGATCGGCGCGGAACCGGTTGTGCAACCGCTCGAGCCAAACCTGGAGGAGGGAGGAGGGAGGAGGGAGGAGGGAGGAGGGAGGAGGGAGGAGGAGGGAGGAGGGGAGGAGGAGGAGGAGGAGGAGGGAGAGGGAGGAGGGAGGAGGGAGGAGGGAGGAGGGAGGAGGGAGGAGGGAGGAGGAGGAGGGAGGAGGAGGAGGGGAGGAGGAGGAGGAGGAGGAGGAGGAGGAGGAGGAGGAGGAGGAGGAGGAGGAGGAGGAGGAGGAGGAGGAGGAGGAGGAGGAGGAGGAGGAGGAGGAGGAGGAGGAGGAGGAGAGGAGGAGGAGGAGGAGGAGGAGGAGGAGGAGGCGGAGGAGGAGGAGGAGGAGGAGGAGGAGGAGGAGGAGAGGAGGAGGAGGAGGAGGAGGAGGAGGAGGAGGAGGAGGAGGAGGAGGAGGAGGAGGAGGAGGAGGAGGAGGAGGAGGAGGGGAGGGGGAGGGAGAGGGGGAAGGGGAGCGGGAGTAGGAGGAGGAGGAGGAGGAGGAGAGGAGGAGGAGGCGAGGAGGAGGAGGAGGAGGAGGGAGGAGGAGGAGGAGAGGAGGAGGAGGAGGAGGAGGAGGAGGAGGAGGAGGAGGAGGAGGGGAGGAGGAGGAGGAGGAGGAGCCTCTTCGCCTCAGGCCGGCAGCACCATCGAAGCGGAGCTCGTGGGCGGCGGCGCCGCCGCCTCGCGAGGGAGGGCGCAGCCAGTGCGACCTCGGGCGGAAAACGATCGCCGGTGACCTCGGGCAGCGCCAGCGCCGGCGCCCGCGGTGCTCCTTGGAGATCGGGGGGGAGAAGGTCTGTCCTCTCGGGGCCCATCATGAAGCCTCAGAACTGGAAGCCGAGCGTAATCGAGCAGCTAATGTGTTTTCTGTGACCGTGGCTTCTCTTGGGCCTCCTTGGGAGGCCTCGTCGCCAATTCGAGACATCTTCGGGCCTACTTCTGGCGTCTTGGAGGCATGGTGGAATCCATCGTTGACCATCTTGCGCCAACTTGAGTACCATCTTTAGGGGAACAAGTAATGTCATAAACATAAAAGACTCGGAGGTCCGCGCGGATTTCTCGGATCGGCGCTGGACTCCCCACCCTGGCGCGCGGAGCGCGCCAGGGGCGGCGCCGGAGGCGCAGCCAGGGGGGCCCAGCGCCCTCATTGTCAGTTCCCCTAGTCTTGGGCCATCTGGGGCCATACTGAAGCCATGTTTGCCATCTTGGACATTTCAACCTCTCGCGACGGCAGGAGGGGTGGAGGTTGTTCTGCAAGAGCTGATCCGTGAAGCCAGCTACGTCAAGAGGGCTGGAGGGATTTCAGGCTTGGAGACCTTCTGCGGGGTGCGACCAGGCGAGGCATTGTCGCCCAGCTGGCCCACAGTGGATGAGCTGGTCGAGGTGGGGTGCTGAGGCCAGGGGGCTGCGTGGGGGGCGACGAGCACAGGGGGCCAAGAAGGGATAAGTGCAGGGGAAGAGCAGGAGAGCGAGCCGAGCGAGGAGGAGGAGGGAAGCTCGGCCGTGTCTGGCCGCCATGGCCCGGCCATCGAGCCGGTGCCCCGGCGGCGCCTCTGCGAGGCCGCCTGTCAGAGCGGGCGGTGGCCTCACCCCTCTGGCCCGCGCGGCGCCGTCGTCCTCAGCTCAGGCATTGGATTGGATATTGAGCCCGATGGCTATCGGGCCGTGGGGGGAAAGGACGCTTTCTCTCCTTCACCTCACCCTCTACCTGCGGACCCTACGGTTGGTTCGACCCTTTGGTTGTCAACCTCCGTCAGCCCTTTTCTATTGCGCTCTCCGTCACGGACCGCGACCCACTGGGCACGTTCCGCGCGGGGCATCCGCGCAGAGCCGCCCTGCAGCCGCGTGGGCGACGGCTGCGCCCGCAGCCACGCCCTCGCGGTCTGGACGCCGGGGCGCGACGCCACGGGCACGCGAGCCACTGGGCACGTCCCGCGCGGGGCGTCCGCGCAGAGCCGCCCTCCTCTCGTCCGACACACGGCACGATGCTCTTCGCCATCTCCCTTGTGCTCCCACCCCCCCAGACTATGCAGCCTCCCGTTGTGGGGTTTCAGCTCTGGGGGCTCCAGCTTTGGCCTCACTGGGCGCAATCACATGCATCCAGAAGATACGTGTTGGCGCACCTCTGACGCATGCCGTACCCCACGCGGGCTCACCGTCAAGGACACAGAAATACACGTCGCGACCACATGCCTGCCGCACAGAGGAGGCAAGACTGAACTCGCCGCCACGCGACGCAAGCTCAGACGACTCGCGCGCAGGAACGCATGCCCATATCCACGTTCGCGCGATCCAGACCGTTCGGCCGCGACCACGCGGATGCATGGCGGCTTTGCGCGGATGCCCTGCGTGGAGCGTGCCCATTGGATCGCGTACCCCTGGCATCGCGCCCTGGCGCCCAGACCGCGAGGGCGTGGATGCGGGTGCAGCCGTCGCCCAAGGGATGCGACCCAATTTCGGAGAGGGTGCGGAATACGGAAATGGAGGGAGGGGAGCAGGACGAGGTGATGAAGTCGGCTCGGCTTTTATTCCCTCCTTTTTCGGAGGCCCTCTGTGGACCCTTCCTCTGCAGGCAGGTAAGAGATAAGAGGAGGAGTAGGAGGAGGAGTAGGAGGAGGAGGGGAAGGAGTCGGAGGAGGCGGAGGAGGAGGAAGAGGAGGAGGAGGAGGAGTAGGAGCAGGAGCAGGAGCAGGAGGAGGAGGAAGAGGGGGAGGAGGCGGAGGAGGAGGAGGAGGAGGAGGAGGAGGAGGAGGAGGAGGTGGAGGGTGAGGTGGATGTGGGGGAAGATGAGAAATATCTTGGATGGTGGAGCTAAGGTTTGAAGCGTTTGGCGCAGCGAGGCCATTTCAAGCCCGCAGTGTCGGGAGCCGGAGCCATGTCACCAGGGTCGACAAATCACGAGCCCGCGGCAGGTCAAAACGCCCCGAGGCGGCCTCGTCCCGGCCGAGCCTGCTGATTCGAGAAGGCTGCGAAGCAGGAGGGGGCGGAAGAACAGGGACGCGCTCTGGGGAGGAGGAGGCGGAAGAGGAGGAGGAGGAGGAGGAGGAGGAGGAGGAGGAGGAGGAGGAGGAGGGTGGAGGAGGAGGAGGAGGAGGGGGAGGAGGAGAAGGAGGAGGAGGAGGAGGAGGAGGAGGAGGAGGAGGAGGGGGAGGAGGAGAGGAGGAGGGAGGAGGAGGAGGGGGAGGAGGAGGAGGAGGAGGAGGGGGAGGAGGAGGAGGAGGAGGAGGAGGAGGGAGGAGGAGGAGGAGGGAGAGGAGGAGTAGGTGGAGGAGGAGGCGGAGAGGAGAGGAGGAGAGGAGGAGGAGGAGGAGGAGGAGGAGGAGGGACGAGGAGGTGGAGGTGGGGGGAGGGCGGGCACGGCGCGCGCCGTCGGAACGCCTTGCCTCGCGGCTCAGGGCTTTTTCGCGCCCGGTGCCCCGGTGCCCCGGGGCATGCGGCATGAGGTAGCCTGGGCGCAGCCCCTCCTTCGGTAGCAAGTCGTGGGAGCCTCCCAGACCCCCGACGACAGGATTTGTTCATGACGTCGACGCCAAGAGGTCTCGACCCATTCCCTAGGACGGGTTTTCCCTGAGTGGTTTTTTAATGATCACCAGGCCCAGAAAGGGCCCTCAGAGACCGAAAATGGCGAAAAATCTCCCGTCGTGTTTTTTTTTCAACGCGAGGGGGTCTGGGCTTGTGTACGGTGGGTTCGCGTCTGGTCGACCAGCGGCGACCCCGCCGCCGGCGTTCAACGTTGAACGCCGCCAGAGACCCAGAATCGGTCGATGTTGAACGATCGGACGTTTCGGAAACGGCCGATCGTTCAAGATTGAAAGTTCCGCGCGATGTCAGGAACCAACGGCGGGGTCGACACGGCACGAACCTGCCGTACGGTGGGGGCGTTGGTTCAGGAATCTGTCCAAGAGGTTCAGACCCTGGAGGATTTCTGGGTTTCCTGTCTGATGAGCGCGGCGGCGCTATCCATGGCCGCTCCACGATTGGAGTTCCACTGGCTTCCAGACCCTGGATTCCTCTCCAATGGCTCCTTAGCCAATGTCCTCACCCTCGCAATTCCGTATTTGGAGTGCACTGGCGTCGATTAGCGTCTGATAATCGATGAGATAGCGCCGATTTAGCGTCGATTAGCGCCGATTTAGCGCCGATGTAGCGCCGATCAGCGTCGATTAGTGTGAATTTGCAAGAGCCAGCAGGATGATATGGGATGCTCCCATGAGTTGCCACAGAAGCCTCCGCCGGCCCTTCGACCGCCTGTCGTCATGAAGGCGAGCGTGGGCCGTGCTCTAGGCGGGCGCCCGTACAGGGGGGGGGGCGGAGGGGGATCAGGGGCGACGTTCAGGGGACAGGCTCATGAGGGGGGGCATTGACCCTTAAGCTTACGTCGCATCTGCGGGGATCCTCGTCTGTCCCACAAACTTGGTCTCTTTTCTTGTGCCCGACGCGGGCTCGATGCGGACGCGACGCGGATTTGGCGTAGAATCTACGCGGATTCGACACGGATCCGACGAGCGCGACATGGATTCGACACGGGTTCGACTCAGATTCTACGCGGATAGGGTCGCGACAGGACAGACAAGGTCCCCCGAAGATGCAACTCAAGACCCTCTAAGTGCCCATTCATCGCCGATGGGGGCCCGATAGCCCACCCCGCCCGGGAGCGGTCAGCTTTGTTGTTTTTAGGGGCCTGTCGCCGATCTATCGGCGATGTCTCCCTGATGCCTCAGGCCGATGCTTCCCCCCCTGAGCCGGTCTCTCCTCGTCGTTCCCCCTTAGCACTGGAACCCAACGACAGCCCCCCCCCCCCCGAACTCCCACCGACGACTGGACACGTCCCGAACCTCCTCGACCCTCGATCCTCCTCCTCCTCCTCATCCTCCTCCTCCTTCCCCTCCTCCTCCTCCTCCTCCTCCTCCTCCTCCTCCTTCTCCTCCTCCTCCTCCTCCTCCTCATCCTGGATCGGTCTGCAGCGCGTCTCCGCGTGGTGCGCCCCCCGGTATACCGATCTCCGCACTGGACTGTTTCGCGGACGCCTGGGTCCTGAGTCCTGAGTCCTGAGTCCTTCTGGACTCATCCTCTTCCTCCTCCTCCTCCTCATCCTCCTGCTCCTCCTCTTCCTCCTCCTCTTCCTCCCTCCTCCTCCTCCTCCTCCTCCTCCTCCTCCTCCTCCTTTGATCGCCGGTCCCCCCCATCGATCTGATGATCCTCAGGACGCGTTTTAGCCCAAGCGTCTCGAGGGGGGGTTCGTGGAGGGGCAGCGGTCTCGCACGTCGAGAGTCCGAAGGGTTTGGCAAATCTGCTCCGTGCAGTCTGCAGGGGGCCATTGCAAGCGTGTGTTTACCCCGTTTGGCTCCGCCGACAGCGCGCAGTCCGTGTCGTTCCTCACGGAGCCGCCCACGTCGTACTGAAGGGTTTCCGTGGACAAGCACACGTCGGCGCCGCAGTTGACACCGGTGGGATGGGTGGGTAACCCTCCCAAGGGTACCCTTCGCATCCGTACCTCTTTGGTCCATCTCTGGCTACGTTCGATGGCCCGCCGCGCTCGAAAAAGCGTGCCACGGGCGTTCTCACGTTTCAGTTTGACTGTGATACTCACCACCCACCAAACCACCCCAACCCCACCCGAAAGCCTCAGTTGGCCCTCCATTCCTCGTGGCGGGTGTCTCGGGGAGCATGGGGAAACACACATGTTGAACCCGTGCCCTCCCG